TATATTTTATTCGACACTATTCTCGCGGAGCGACGGTCGGGAGGTGGTGGAATCCTATGTATAGCCTGCTTTAGTTGGCAAAAATACCATAGTATAATATGCGGAGAATAAACTCTTTATATACGTTTTACTCTTATTCGCGAAGTTTTTATACATGTATTAGGTATATGTTTACATTATACTATATAGGTTTACCTTTACTATATATATATGGAGTAGGTACTTGCATTTTTATGGTAATAACGGCTCCTGTGACTGGAATTGATATATTAAATAGTATATGTGTGTATGATAACATGTCCCTATATATGTAGCTCTTCCCTGCCACCAATCCACTAGTAACACCGTCAACGCAGAGGTGTCATAAAGTCATTTTGAGTATATCTTATATTATATAAATCATATATATTGGTTCCTATATGCGAGTATACGCATAAAGTAAAAATATATATAATATTTAAAAACTTCGTAATAGTATATAATATAGTATATACTACAGAACGACTATATGAATACTATTATTGAATATTAATTTGAGCTGCGGGGTCGGCGTCAGATTGCATATTAAAGGTGCCACCCCAAATCTAACATCTATGTGTAGGTACAGTTGTCCATGTATTGATTTTGCAACTGAGGTTTGAGTAGGAAGTTAGCCGACAGAAAGTGGCTTAGATTTTTTATGTATAGAACTTCATGTAGAGGTATATTCGATTTTTGGGACAAGTTTTTTTGATAAAAAGAATCTTAGTACTAAATAAATTTCGTAGAGTTTTAAAATGTCACATAATGTCGTAATACATTCCAACATTTGTGTATTAAAGAATTTAATTTTTAATTTTGATAGTCGATTTGTTATGACATTGACAACAACCATACTTTGTATTATAGTTACATATTATATCAGTTATAATTTTTATGTATATATATATAAATCTTGTATGTTTTAAATTAAATCGACGTTACAAAAAGTATAGTTAACTACTCTTACAGTCTCATAATTCGTGAAGAAATAATTTCATACCATTTGAAAAGAATAAACTTTATTGGAGCACAAATTTGGATTTTGTTGAGTAAAAATAATGGAGTGTGATACGCTATAGCTTATTATAGTTTCCATATAGTTCATTGTATGGGGCTAAGTGTAACCAATTATCGGATTTTTGTACTTGCTGATTAAAATTCTATAATGCCACTTGCTGCACGAGTATTATGCGTATATATTAGTTATTCGACTTATTACTTTACGATAAGCTATACAATTATGTTCATCATATATTATTATACATCGCATATACGTTATAAACAGTGTACTTAGTATTTATTATGAGATATTATGTGTTATTTTTGTATTATAAGTAATAACTGTGTAATATAGTCATTGTTGCTGTCTATGTATCATGCGCGTATTATACTGTATACACCATTATGCGTCTATATTATTATGTACAGTTTATATGTCATATTTTATAATATTAAAAGATAGGTCCAGTAAAAAAAATAATGGCCGCGTTTAATGTTCAAACTGGTTCCCAGCTGGCAGTAGTTTAATCACAGTGTATCAAGGTATATCCGAGTTTGCAGTTCCGTCTGTAATATTATACATTATACAAAATCGTGACTCGTGAGAATATTTGTGTGAGTACATATATATTCCTATACACGATAGCTATATTATTCGTTGTGTTATCGAATTTTTTTCTTTCACATTAAATATAATATTATATTGGTTCGTATTTCGAAAAGACACTTTTTATCGTGACTATTAACAATTATACATTTTGTGCCTAAACGTTTTGCTCGTAAACATTTCATCGATAATCGATGAAATAAAAATAATTGTTTGCCCAAAACATAATGAACATATATTATATGTATATTTAATGACTAATAAGCAATAATCGTTCAAATTCGATTGGTACAATAATTGGTTTCTAATGTCATTGAAACTATGTATATAATGATACTATAAAAAAACCTGTTATTCAATAACAAATAACAAAAACGTATAGGTATCTATATTATACATAAACATAGGTACACTTATATTATAATAATATTATACATAAAATATTACTTAATTCGTTTTATACTCTATAATATATCATTATCTTTCACGTATATAACATATAATATTAATTAATTAAGAAAATAACCTTGGGCAGCAGTATATTATATTTTATATATGAACAATTCTACATGTTATCTGACAATTTTTTTAATTTGACTTAAGTGTGTATACTATCCTGTACCTATACCCGAAAAAATGTAAAGTATAAGCATCACAAGGGGCATTGTTCGACTAAGGATTATTCTTTGGTTATTTCATTATTATTATTTTTTATGGTCTATTGACACATGTTGAAAATATGAAAGACAATATAATGACATGTACTCAAGGTACAAGGTATATTTAAATTATCAATTAAGCATGCAAACGGGCATCATTTATCGAATACAAATTAATTTGATTTTGATCTGGTATAAAAATTACTATTAATACATATTTAATCTAGTGCTCCATATTAAAATAAAAGGTATTATTTTATAATGTATAACATAAAAATACTAGTATTTACTAGAGTATTTTAATATACGATTATTATTACCTCTACATATTCACAGAAATAACAGGATTTTAATCGTTGAAATACCATAGTATAGGATCTAATAATATAGGTAATGAAAAGCTATGAGTTATAATATAGTGGTACATTGAATAAGTAATTAAATATACAGTGTCGGATGATTAGTCTACTAATGCCTATAGGTATATGTTTTACTCTATAGTTACTAGATTACGTATTTTACTTACGATTCTTCCACTGGTGTTACAACTATGTTAGCGAGAGGTACACATTATGTTACTCTTTTGTATTGTCTTCGGGTAAACTGTAGGTAATTGAATAAGTATGAGTATTGAGTAGGTAATGAATAAAATTAAAAATGTGAATAAAATGTTTTTTTTTTTTTGATAAATTTGCTTTTATGTGCGGCCTGCATAGTAAACTGTTCAACAGATATCAATTAGTTGATGTTTTGAGTTTGACATGCCTGCTCCAGGACCAAATAAAGTTATGGGTGCCTATCGTATTTCTAATAATTATGATGACGTACGAGTAGTACACGTTTAAAGTAAAAATTTTTTCGGTTACATAATTACCGATAAATTATGCGTTTGCAATATGTATACCCTACCTACCCTATTTTTTTGTTTTCCGGGACATTTTATAAACCCGATGTATACCCGGAAATCTCCACGGGATTGGAACCATCGTTTTAGTTTCTCCCCCATCGCGGTGTGTACAAGCACGGTATAAAGTTGAGTAATTTATCAAGTTTTGAACACAACTTAAATATAATGAATGAAAAAAAATCGAAATTCTCGAAGAAAGAAATAAGCATTTTACGAGATTAAATGTCACACGAGCTTACAAAGTTTCTACGATGACGGTGGATGGTATGGCGGTGCTGCAGAAGGGCGCGCGCCGGCGATACTAGGAAAACGAATTGCGATAATAATAATAACATGAGCGCGTACCTCCCCTTCAGACCCAATATATATTATATAATATTGTGACGTTATAATAATATACTGTTTTAAGTCTTAACACGATTTGACAACGTTGTCGTAAGAATATGTGTACCTGCGACAAAAATACTGTTTGATATGTAGACGGAGAGATTATTATTATAGGTTATTATGTCATTATAGGGGGTGCTTATACCATGTTTTACTGACCATCCTATTCTCTCCCACGTACCAAACATTTTTTAACCAGAAATATCGATCAGTAATGCTGTCCGAACCTAATATAATTCGTCTGAGATTGTATCGTATAGGTATCGTCAATATGGCGTCATTTGTTTGACAGGAATAACTGGCGTACTGCACTAACATTACATATTATATTATTTCAAACATTATATTTTGGAAAGCGGAGTGATCGGTTCTCGTACCTGCACCTATTCACACGGCATAAAAATAAAATATCATTATATTATGTAAAATAACGACGAGGCTGACCCGCAACATCATGACTACGTTACAATTATACGCATTTGTCCGTATAATTTAATTATCTAAACAATAGTTTGTATTCCACTCTGGTCCATTGTTGTAATGATTGCATTATTGCTCAGAGTTTTATTTAGTAATATTTTATTATTCTGTAATTATTATTAAGGTTATGTCGATTATATTATGTTACCGCTGGAATGCTGGCTATATTATATCGATCTAGAATGTAGATAGTAGAAATACTTACACCCAAATATAACCCTCACTCATAATTTCTCATAATTTTTTTCTTTCAATCATCAGTATCAGACACCGACTGACCGATTCCTGCATATTTGTATATATTTTATATATGTTTTTATGAGGTATCAAACTATCAACCTTAACTGTGTTCTTCTTTTATTTCAAAATTTAAAATAGTAAATTTGTCAGTAATTAGTTTTTTCTTTAAAAGTTATTAAAAACACATGAATTAATTTTCTTAGACATATTCTTAAATATAAATTTGTGTATTTTGAAACAAGAAATACAATTGTATAGTGATATTACAAAATTGTATTGCAAACATTTAAATAAATAAATAATTATTTTTAATACTGTACTTACATGATTTATGATTGTAATATACATGTTTGATATTGATAAATGATTCGACTTCGAATTTAGTTTTTTAAGCTCTATACCTATGTATAGAATGATATATGGACATGAATTAATTAATACCATGAATGTTCTGTCTTTTTATGTTTATTCTCTATATATAGTTTTGAAATGTTGTTATTAATATGTTGTCAAATATTTAACACTGCCTATAATAGGGCATATTTAGTATGCATTTTAGTCTAACCACTAAAATGTATTAAAATGCAATGAACTAAAATAGGACCATGTCAAAGTAACTTGTGTAATTAATCATTAATGTATAAAATATATTAAAAATAAACAATGAGCTTATAAAATTATGATTTCTCTTGTGTCATAGGTTGTGCTGGTGGGCTTCTGGGCACCCGACGCATCGGACATCCGTACCAGAACCGGACGCCACCCAAGAGGAAAAAGCCGCGCACTTCGTTCACGCGCAGTCAGATTTCACAGCTCGAGGAGAAGTTCAACAAGCACAGATACCTGTCATCGGTTGACCGCGCAGCCCTAGCGAAAGCGCTCAAGATGACCGACGCGCAGGTCAAAACGTGGTTCCAGAACAGACGCACCAAATGGCGGTAAGAAAACGTTTTGTATTTGTTTAATTATTCCATAACATGATATTATATGATACGATAATATCACAGTCATTGATAACTACATTTGGCGATAACTATAAACCATATGTTTCTAATGATCAAATAATTTACCTATGTTAAAAAATCAGCTACATGCTTACATGACGAAATCATTTAACCGCCACAGATTACAAGTTACAACGTATGTTTATTTTTAATATTAAATAATATTGCAAGCAGAGTACGTTTTTAAAAATGTAACGTATTAATATGAAATAATATCCTATGATAACTTGTGGTTAAAAACGAATAAAATAATAATAATATAAAATATTGAACAATAAAAGCATACTATGAAGAGAGGGGACCATGGCTTGAGTGTTAATGGTGAAACAGGGATGTCACCCTGTATGCAAAAAAAATCAATGTAACATATTGTAGTAATAACTAATAAGTATATAATTACGAGACATATAGTTTACTGGGTTCGAACAATATACCAGCTAATATTAATTATAATCCAGCGTAACGATTCGACCCAAACAATATGATCCATTTTTCGAATCGCGTGTCCTTTTTACGACAATATATTCATACCCGCGCTGTACACAGGTGCGCATGTGCGAAAAAAAAGTCACTAACAATAAATCGAATAATAATAATAATTGCCCTCGCCGATCGATGATGCTGCATGTGCACGGGGCGTTGACTTTTTATCAATTTTAAATGTCGGTATGAGGTGGGTACATAATATTATATTTTATGTTCGCCGGGTAAACATTTCGGTTGCGTGAGATCAAAAGTAGTTAAACGCCGACTGTACCTGTATAATATAGGTATATACGATAATATAAAACAATAATTTGTCGTTCATTAACAACTCCATTATACACATAATATATACCTAATAATAATATATAGATCCATTACGACTCGTAAAACGAACATAATATGTTATACAATCGAGACGGCGGCTTCGAAAAGCGTACTCTCGTAATATTATAATAATATATTTTATACACATACGGACGACTGAAAAGTACACGTATTATACGCGCGTATTACTCGCACTGATAAAATATATTACATAAGACCAGTTTATCGTTTCCACGTCCATGCGAGTAAAATAATAATATTAATAATAATGATATTATGATGTGAATTCTCCCCCGTACACACTGTTTGCGCTGTCAACGACCCCTGTTCCGACATTATTATTGTAATATATTGTATATAAAGATATGAACGCGTTCGATCGACAGTCCTCCTAACTATTATTGCACAGCATTATGTCACACAACTGCAAGCGTATAGGGCACGACATCATCATATTATAATAATAATAATAATAAACTATTATCGCATCCGATGTGTCTCGCTATATATATATATATTGCTCAATAATAATATTATAATATAACAGACATCTCGGCCGTCCGTCGTCACGGTTGCTCGGGCTCGGACAATGATGCGGCAAAACTTGATTTTTGCACAATTGGTGGATGTTTTTAATTTTTTTGCAACGCGTGAAGGGTCTAATGTGGACCTAGACACTACGTAGATAATATATCGATACACTCGTCTTGAACTATTTTTAACGTAATATATTATAATAATAATATTATAGTATTGCGCCGTTCGTTCGATTTCGACGACGACGGAGAAATTAACCGTATTATATTATTACGTTCCGGTGTATAACACATACTGTTATAGTAATATGTATATATTATTGATGTGACAAATCGGTCGGCGTCGCGCCAAACAAAACGTTATAATATAATTCAGTCGGCGACAAAATGCGATAAAAACGACGGCGGGAGAGGTAGAACGAGAATGAAAGAAAAAAAAAACAACAACCGAGTCCATTAGAAGCTTTTAAAATTCCTGTCACCTTTTCGGGCCACTATTAAGTGGTTTTAATATACCATTTCTACTTCTTCTTTCCTTCTTCTCTGTTTGTTTTTTTTTTTTTTTTAATTACACGTGTTATCCGAGCCGACGCGGTTAATGCATATTCCGTGTAATCGGTGGCGCCCCCAGTGGATAACACGGACGAACCAGTTGCCCCGCGCTCGCTCGTGTACCTATATACGGTTTGTATATATATATATATACTCCTTTCGGCTATATACTTACTACCTACTATGATACACGTTATATATATACACGCGAGCGGCGCTCCGATATACCTATACATATATATATATCGTCGTATAAACATATATTATTTACCTATGTATATGTACTACAGTCGTACTGCGTACACATATTTTGTATGTATGATATTATATTGTAGGACGCCGCACGAGGTAAATACTTACGACGATAATATATAATATTATATGGTCAGTGTACATTTACCGCCGTTTTTACTACCGCCGCCGCTGTACAAGAGTAAACAGACAAATGGACGTGTTTGTTTGTTTTGCCTCCCCCGAGCAAGCGCGCGCGCGCTCGCCCACTGCTTGCACGATATCGAAATATGCAGCTGCAACCGTCATCTCTGTACCTGCAGAGGCGTAATAAAACTACCGCTGCAGCGGTGCATGTGCAGCGGCAGGAGACCGCGACTGGGACTAGTTTTGTTATTGTATTTTTTTATCGATCGTGCAGATTGTACTATTGTGGGCAATAAGTCGTCCGTCGCCGCCGCCGCTGCTGCTGCTGTACGGCTGAAGGTTGTCGGACGTGTCCATCATTTGTCATTCTAGGTAATTGTTCATAGGTGGGTACTGATTATGATTGATGTACGTCGTACCGAAGAAACGTCATTTCTAGAAAACTATAGATTTTGTTTCTAAGTGTCGACTTGTAAATAGGTGATAGGCGATATATTATAATTGTTGACTGCAGTAAATTATGGCTGTCGAACAATGATGAAATGGTATTCAGATTTTTGCAGAAATATTAATTTATGACTGTTTTACAGATTTGTTCCGCTCCACTCTGTCTTTGATCGTGAATAGGTGGTGGTGTTCTGGAAAGGTTTAAGGTTTTACCCTCTTTTCTCCCTTCTTTCAAATTTTATAAACACACCACCGATCTGAATAAAATATTACCATATGATTTCTACCGTAAAGCACCTGATGGTTTGCCTCTTCGCTCAGAAGATTAATTACACATTTTTTTTTTTTTAATGAAATCCTATACTCCTATAATCTGTGCCGGTCATTTCTTTTGCGCCATTCGGAACTGAACGGTAGAAACGCATTGTCATCTAGGTAACCCATCACACGGCGGCTGCTGCAGCCCCACCCACATAATTATTATACCCCGGTGTCGGAACACAAACAAACGCTATATTCATTTAAACAAATAATTGACAGTATACAATCGTATATAATAGAACCGTACACGGCACGTGTATAATTGTCGTATACATAACCTACCTGCGTATAGTGAGTGCAGCGGTGTCGGTGCACGGGAGGAGTCGAACCTGTTTTTTAATTTTCTCGGTAGAGACGCGACTAAAAAAGGGCCGACAGTGGCGAGACGTGCGTGCGATAAGCGCGGACGGCGGCGCCACACGACGGGACGACGAAATCCGACGTAGCGGCGTAGCGCCACCGGACCCGCTTCCCCCGCGCCGCCGCCGCGTCCTGGTCGTGCGACGGCGGCGTTCTCTCGCTCGCACCGTCTCCACTCATCGCTGTTGGGGCGCAGAGCGAGACCGCCGACGGATTAAGGACACATTGAAATTTGGGCATTAACCCGTGCGCGCGCATCATGTGATGGTATACCCATACATACAGGTAATAATAATATGATGTTAACGACGCGACACGGAGAGCGCTTAAAAAATAACGCTATGTATCCATAATATAATGATTTTACGAAAACCCGACGACTGAGGTTTTAACGAAATACGTTTTAACGCGTAATGTCTTGAATAGAACGTGAGTAGTGATGGATTAGTGCAGGTTGTGTTCGTACATTATTTTGGTTTTTAGTGTGTTCGGCAGCAGATGATAGTATGACGACGTATGGTCACTATCATGGTGCAGCGGTTAGGCAAACGTGTTATCAACCTATATTTAGTTAATTACACAGATGTAATTAATAGATTTATATTCGTCATCTATATATATTTATCTGCGGGTAAGTAGCATGTACTGCAGACGACGAAAGGTGATTAAAATACCTATTGTGTATCATATTATGATAATAGTTTTTCGATGATCGTCCACGTGTATGTACTGTGTTTACCTATAAAATATGAAAACAACTATCGAAAAGTATATATTGCTGATTAAATTTTGCAGACAAAACACGCATCACGGACTCCGTTTAAGTTATTTTCTTTTTGTTTTCCTCAATATTATTTTCATTTTGCATAATTTAGTACCTGTTTAGTGTTAACGTCTATCAGCTATAATATTAATATGTTCAGTAGAGAGGTACTATACATTGTTTACCAAGCATTAAACATTCGTTTTTCACTTTAAATGAGAAATCACGACTATATGGTAAATCGCACAACACTTTATTCACCCTCCGAACAGCCTTCAATCCATTTAATACATGCCATGAAATATAGAAACCTTTGCAGAATTCTATATTGACTATTCCATTGGTCGGAATTCGTCAGTTCTCCCAGGGGACAACGTTCGATATTTTACACGAAAATCTGACAATCTTACATTAAAACTACTTTTAGAAATTCAAGATCTTCGTGATAAACAATATGCATATATGTATGTATTATAATTGTTTACAACATAAATGTGCCGTTTCATGTAAGGACTGAAATATTCTAGTCATACAATTGGGTAGGTAAATTTCTTGTATACCTACATATATGTATTTATTCCTTGTCCGAAAATAAATTTTTACATACCTAAAATATATATTATTATTGTATCAAATATCAATATTAGACATCGCCGCGAGTTTGGAAGTGTTACGCACGAGTAAGGATTTACTATCTTATAAGACGTTATATTATTATAATAGATCCTTACATGATCGTTGCGTAAATGATTTAACCTAACAACATAGCGAAAGAATATAATGTAATAATAAACTGTTTACGTTTATTTGTTTAATTAAATCGCCTCCTGCACGTGTAAAGAGGGATAGTTATTGCTGCTGCTGCTGCTGCAACTACTAATAACAATAATAACGCCTAGCGGGGTCGTATTATAAAGTGTTTTTGAAAAGTACTTACCGTAATTATTACCACCACGCGCGATACCGCGGTATTTTAACTACAAGTTAGGTATGCCCGCATATATATTATTATAATAATGATACCGTTTTCGCGGGGAAACTGCGTATTCTCTCAGACCTCAGTTAATAATAATAATAGGTGTGTATAATCGCCGCCATCTGAGCTTGTAACCCTGTATACGTGTATATATAAAATGTGCATATTAAATAATATATTAAACAATAACGTACGTCTCGTTTGAAATTTTAACAGCATTTATACTGGGATAAAAGTTTACTCGACGGAAAATGACAGCCTGCTAAAAGCGAATTCATATAGGATATACCTATATAATATAGGAATCTAGAAACACGTGCAGTTATAGTGGTTACGACTTACGGGCAAGAGTATACAAATTTAAACTTGCCCGTATATACATTGATTGACACATATTGTCCAATACCCAATTTCAGCAGTCCAATCATATAAGATTATGGTACTTATTAAACTTTACCCTATGCGCAATATTGTGTAAGTGATGAAATCTCAATAACTATAGTGTTATTAATGCATCATAATAATATTTTAGCGTCTTGCCAGGGAAATTATTTTTTAACATTCACGTACAGTTTTTTTCCATATTTTATAAATTTACAATTTTGAATTTTAATGTTTTCTAACATTTTTTATTTCACCATGGGTAATCGTACTTATATGGTACCCTATAGTATTAAATAAATCACATGTCGCCGGTTTTTAGTCGACTACCCTACAATTCTATACTCGTCTACTGTTGATTTTTTCTCCGTCATCGCATAGTCATAATAACAAGGTTTTTTTTTTTTAAGTAACTCTTGTTTCTTAAAAAAAATCCCGATATTATTATATATACTGTACTCTCTGCCCTTTATTTTAATAAATAAATAAATACTAATAATATTTTTAGTTTTAGTCATACTCAAACCTTGGCTCGAGGGAGTATCGCGAGTCGACCGAAATGTGTCATTGAACACCTATATTATCTCAAAATGTAAAATTATACAACGTTTTTTCAAAATATATTTTCGCAGCAAATTGATGTCACAACATCGATACACTCTTAGCCGGGTGCAGCATAATTATAATTATTATTATTATTATTATTGTGTAGTTTATGTGAAAGAGAACCCGGATTTCCACTGCTCGTGTACTCACGACAACGTAACAACATGAAATGATCGATGTTTTTATTGCTACAACGACTGCAATATATAATATCGTAATATACTCAATATAGTAAGTGTCATTTAGAAATGTGAGGTTTATGTAGGTATATGAACGGACGTTTCCGTTCTTATATTATAAGCGTACACGATAATAAACAAACATGCCGCCGACGCCTACGTCTGCACCGGTCGTATATAATATCGAAAGATTTTTGTTCGTCTTTCCTACACCGTTTAACACGGCGGCGGCGTCTGTTGTTTGATAAAAAGAATAATGAGTAAATCGAATATATTTACGGGATGTGCGAAAAACGTACCTACACGCAAACGTATATGGAAATGAAATCGTTTGTAAGACTTAAAGCGTAAGGATATTGCGCCGCAAGTAATAAACACGTATCGAAGAGACTTGAGGGAGAGTAGAACGCACAATAGCTGTTATAATATATTATTGCGAGTGTAGGATTTTAATTTATGTGTTTACTTACGTTCGACTTCGATTGTATTTATAATGTAACAGTTTAGTTTTTTTTTATTACATACCAACTTATCAACAGTGTAATATTTTGAATTTTTGAATTGTTTTGCCTCATCGGTTATGACTAACCAATTTATTCCAAACACCATTAGTCGGTTAAATGCAGCGTAATACGTTTGAGCTATTTTAGAATCATTAATATTTTGTGTTTACGTCTCGCTGGCTTATTCCATCAATTGTTAGCAAATATAAGCTTTAGATTCGGTTAAAGCCTGATATATTTATCGTTGTCTGTATAGTTCTCCAATCTCCGCACACATAGACTTTATTTAGCTTTTTGAAAATTATTTTTTCCTCCAAAGTATAGTCAAAATATAATTATTTAATTTCAAGTAGCGATATATATATATTTTTTAATTTATATTTGACAGTAATTGTATTTAGTGAGAATAATATTTGCGGTTCAGAACAACCTTATAGTAGATCACCTATTACGCGGTACATAAATATAGGAGCACTTTATACACGTAGACCTGTGTATTAAATTGTCTTGAAAAACGTAGATTAAGTCTTCGACTATGAGCACTGAGCTCCAGTAGGTACGTCTCATCGTATAAGACCGTGATGGTACGATATAACTCATTGGCGAGTCCGATAAACACTTAAATAAATTTAATATGAGTATATATAACATATTATGAAAGTACTGCGGGCGCGGAAATCTTGCACGCCGACGGGTCGCGGCCAAAAGCGTTTAATATTTTATCGGACTCGAGGCGGCGGCATATCATGTCCTGCAGGACCGTTGCAGAAATCCGCTTAAACTGCGTTTTAAAAACGGCTGAATTATTCAGACCGGCTTTTAAACTGTCAACTTTCGGCGCTCTCGCACACACTCGTTTATAATATGCTCCCCTTTTCGTGGAAACACTATTATACAATATATACATTATACATGTATAGGATGTATATATATATATATATATATATATATATTTTAATATGTACACGGCGCGTTATAGGCCAATATAGTGCAGATAGCGATTTTCACGGCTGTCAGTCGTGTCATCTGTTTGTCGACGCGACGGCCAACATAGAAATATCGTATATTATGTATATAATATAATACCTATACATGTATATACGGTGAGGTGGACCCACTCACCCCGCAACACTGCAAATCACGACTTTGTATACATTTGGGGGCTCGCATATGGTTTTCGATTATTCATGCATAGCGCACTTTGCCTCGGCTTTGTCATTATTCATGCAAAATAGATTTTATACCTATTTTTAGCTCCGTATAGAATACCTCCAGTTGAAGAGTATGAAGATTGCTGAACGCACACTTTTCAAATACAATACCATATTTTTAATATTATAATATTACAATACGATTGTGTAGAAATATTTATTCATTTAAAGTTTTGACATCTCAAACGAGCAATAAGTGCAGTTATTAAAGTTTTTAAAAAATGCATACAGTATAGGTCTCGATATCTTAAATATTATATGGTACTTAACGGTAATTGGTGTTTGTATAATATGAGATAAAAATAAAAAATCATTCTGCACAATGTATACACTTAGACCTTGTAGAATATTAAAATAAAAAAGGTTCCCCGTATAACATAATAAATAATAATCATCTTTATTTCTTGCAAAATAATAATATACAAATTATATAATAAATTGCAATGCAAGCTGCAAATATACCTATACCCTTTTATGTATAAGAAAATTTAAAATAAAAATGTATATTCAACATATTAAATGTACACACTCCAATTTGCATTATATCATATAAGTGTTAGAGGAAAGTAACTGTTCAATTTAAAAATTAATGTTTACATAACAACGATATGAGCTATTGACAAATTAAGGTCAAACGACTTACGTTAAATTTCGGTAGAAAAAGGTAAACACTTTATTTTTCGGTCGGTCCTATCAACGAACAGAGTATAAAATATAATATTGTAATATGCACCTGTGTAATAAGCGCTTGCACTATGGCATTAATATTGGTAACGGTAATAAAACCTACTACTAATAATTTATGATTTCTACACCCCAATAATGTACAAAATAATATGTGTACATAGATCATGAACACCTATAAAATATTACAGAATAAATAAATCAGAATGGATACTGCTAAGGAATATTGTAGGGAAATCTGATAAACGAGTTCGCAAATTTTTTTTTTTTGAGAAAATCAGTGTGACCACTATTATACACGATATATTTATGACACATCAACATGACGTAACATATAATAAATAACAATATTATTTTTCTCCAAAAAAAAAATGACTTCTAATTATCGCCATAATTGTACGATGTCCAGAGCCCGATAATATAATATTTTCAATTTACGATGGTAACAGATTTTAAATGATGTTTTTTTCGCGTTTTTCGCAGACGTCACATGATGGAGGAACGGGAAGCTCAGAGGCAGATGGCCACGAAAATGATGCAGTCCATGATGGACGACCGAGACGGCGGCGTGCGTCTGGGAGCGCTGCAGGGCCTGCAGGCCTGGTCTCCGGCCGCCATGTCGCCCGGCGGCGGCGGGCCCGGCGGCGTCGGCGGATCACCGGTCGCGCCGCAACCGCCACCAGGTCACTTTGGCCTGTCGCAGCCTCCGGTCGCTTCGCCCATGTGCTGAACGCACCTGTAGGGACCGCGCGCGGCGGTCTTCGTTTTTCGTCGTCGTCGTCGTCGTCGTCGTCGTCGTCGCGATCACGTGTACTCAAATTCCTAAGTCCTCGCGACACGCTCCGTACTGATATTATTAAATAATAATAATATTATCGTGTTCCGCTGAGGTCTGTTGTAATACGCCTAGGCTGCGGACTTCGTGACGCGCTACTAATGCGTGCGTGCACCAAGTGGTCGTACCGATATTGAGTCGGACGAATGCAATTCATATTTTATACGTTGAACAATATTTTACGTACAAGCGTGTGATAGTAATTTAGTCATTTTATCATAATACATTACCTTTATCGAAACCGTGTACAGAGATTCGTATTTTTATGCCACTTGTCTGTGATGATTATTGTATTATATGCGTCGCACATCGCACAAACTATATTAGGTACGATATATATGCGTTCGTGGCGAATCTCGATATCTCGGGAAGTACAAGGAATTTTTAATCCTCAGAACAAATATCCACTGATAATTATAATAATGTGGAAAAATTCAAAAATGTAAATCGGTTTGTTTTTAAACGTTACGAAAAAAAAATACACGTTTAAAGTTTAAATAAACATAAAAAAAAATCCTTTTACTTCCAGAGATGTGATAAAAAATAATGATCACTCTGTATAATATGTACATATTATTATATGTATATTGTGTTGCGTTCGAGTTGGTGTGGTGTGGATCTTATGTGCAGCCGTTTTGCTTCCAACGAATCATCTGCCAATAAGACCCAAAAACCGTAAACCCTACGTCATCTGATATGCGTATGTATGTATGTATGTATGTGTTTTATACGGAGTACGTGATAGCAGGCATAATATTGCATTGTATCATCGCGTTGATTCTTTTTCTATAATTGTTATTGTGCAGTGCACGTCGTATATAGTTTATAGTCATCATAGATAATGACGTATAATAATATAGGAGGTATAGGTAGGTAATATTATTATCGTTCTCTTTTCGTACACACCGTGCATACGCCATTATTTTATGTACTTGTACATTTTTAATTTAAATAATATATTTACTGAAACCTTTATAGCGTTAAAATAAAACATTTTATCTCACATATTATTATCATGTGTCCCCTACATGCTATTCATATTATTATTATTGTAACTATTTTTATTATTAGTAGTACTTGGGTATCATTATTGGATGTATACACAAAAGTAGTGCATCCCGAAAGTTTGGAAACCTACCATTAGCCATGTTGTCAGTGAAAGTGTTGGTGGTTATATTGTGGAAGGGGGGTGCATGATTGAGATCTAGGCCATTTTCGAAGATGACATAATAAAATACAGCTTTACATGTAGAGGTCGGGACATCATATCCTAGAGCAGTATGGTAAGTGATTCCGGTTGCTATATTTAAACATTATATACAGTTATACAGAGGGAGGGTTTAAGACTTTTGGGCTAGCTCATTCATACCTATACATATTATAATCAAGTAGTAATAGTGTTAATACATTTCGGAAAACCGCTGAAGGAAAATAAAATGAAATCTAATATGGATCAAACCAATAATTTTGAATTCAAATCACGAAACTATATGTGTTTAAGGGACCAACGCAGACCCTATATTATGTATCATAATGCTTAAGGATTTTTTTTATTTTAAAGCTACAAGTATACAACTATGATAACTTAACAACTACATAAAATGTGGATGGTTATTTCAAACATTCGCGATGTACTCCGTAACCCGTATATAAGGGATGGGTAGATAAATATCAACCTAATTATTTAAATTTAATGTTATTAGGATAATAATTTATTCCAATAATGTACTATAACCTGTCGTGTCAGACTCGTGCGATGATAGTAAAATAATGGTAATAATAATAATAGTAGGTATGCATGTTTGAGTATTTTTTTGGGAAACTGTCAATGCATATAATATGATATAGTAATAAAATGATTATTATTTTGTACAGGTAGCCGCATGACATTATATATTATACACAATATGACGCATAAAGGTATCACTCATTATTACGGTCGTAATATTATTATTATTATCGATAAAGTACCTTATAATATTAGTTATTATATTATTATGTATATATATAGATAATATTATTATTCATGTAAATTGTAAATTTTTATTTGTAATTTGTACTCGTGCAATGTTAGATATTATATTATATAGTTATATTATTATACATAGCGAATAAAAGTGGCATTACGCAAATAAGTATATTATATATTATGTTTCGTTTTTAAGAAGTTCTCACAATGTAGTACTGTACATATAAATATAAATCATGTATATAGATAATAAAAACACACTGTATAGATATAATAGCTTAGATACGCGATGAATGGACGAAAAAAAAAAATCAACATTTCAATATTGTTTAGCTATAATTACTCTTAATTTGCCATTGGACCAGATCATTGTATGTTTTTCGTTTGAATAAAAAAATTTAAAAAAATAATAAATGTTTCAAAATAATAATATAATAAAATTACATATTATATAATCGTGTCATATAGTAATATAGTATATATTATTATGTATTATCGCTTGATCAATATACATTAAGAACACAATATTATACATTATAATATTATATATACCTAAACATACGTAGATATATTAATGACTTGTAATAATAATCGTCATCGACGAGACGCGATTTTATTATATTTTATATATGCAGCCATATTATAATAATATTATGTTCGAGGTGGTGAAGTGTTTCGTTTTTAAAGTTAATAAGTAGGTAGATATATACATATATATATATATATTTAGATATTATATATAGCTTTAGTCATATTTTATTATATATTATTATCATTTGTATATGCATATAAGTACGAACTGTACCTATGCATACATTTCGTGATGATTATGTCATTTATTAGTATATAATATTATTGGTACTATTATTTCATATTATTTATAATATATAATTGTTGTACATGTTACATACTACTTTTTTTTTTTTTGTAAAAGACCGTCGCGCATTTATATTGATTTGTACATTTTTACTGTCTCGGGATACTATATATATATATATTATATATATATTATACAACCATAATTGTGCTTAATAAACTATATATATACGTATAATATATTATATGTATAATGTATATATTCATAAATAACATTAAAGGTTGTTTTTTGATATATCACACGTGAACACATAATATATGCGAAAATGTATTGGAAAAACAGATTAACAAAAAGCGCTCTAGTAGAAACAATTTCTACCTTCCGATTCGGAACATATAGATGGTTTTTTTTTGGTTATTTTACTTTTTCTAATAAATTAATTTTGTTATTAATACTTTATACGCTGGTATAGATAACTACAGTTTACCCCGGTAAGTACAATTTCTACCGATAGTGTCCAATAATTCAATACACTTCACATAAAGCAAAACTGCTTTGTCGGGGAAAATACATACAATCTGATAGTTGTATCCCGACTCCACGAAGGGGGGAAACCACCTAAAAATCAGTACTGTCAGTACAATCAGTACCTAGTGGTATTGGGAAGACCCCAGTATTGCATGCATACGGAAAGTGCTCACATGAAATTCTATAATATAATTGTTCTATAACCTACCCACTGAAAGTCGACCGCAAGTGCGCCGTTTTCACGATCAAATTTCCGTATGTTTTTCAACTTAAACGATTATTCTGTTGAAAAAGGTATAGGCATAGGACTATGTTTGAGTACTGCAGAGTAGATATCCATACGCATGTTCACAAGACGACCATTTGCATGCGATAGTAATTTTTCAGATTTTTTTACATCCAAAGTAGAATCTATTTCTAAAAACATAATAATATATATTGACGCATGGAAATAATAATAATAAGTAAGTATAATTACGTGGACAGGTATACCTATTGCAGAGTATCGTTTGAATATTTGAATGTTTACAATGAAGTATCAAGGTGAAAAGTAAAAAATTGTATACATTTTACAAGAGTGTGTTATGGATATTTTAATGATCTTATTAATTCGAGTTTAAGTAAATCAAGAATTAAAAATACTTTTTATCCGTATTATTATAAATTTGAATATTTTATCAATATACAATAATAATTGTCATTGATTAGAGGTATTAAAAAATAAAAAAGACATTGACGGCTAATTGTCTTGTATGCAATATAATAATATCACGATCATGCCGAACGTTAAAGTCTCTTGCACTCACGAAAGTCAAGCACGACCATATAATTTGAACAGCTTCAAAACGAAAATATAATATTAATAACAGGACGGTGCACCGTATACATGTATTATAGCTTCTCATTACTTTAACATTGTAAAGTAACCCTGAACTAAGTGTTATGAGGACATTAATGAATTTGTACAGGTAATTTTTGGTATATGTTGTAATTATTGCCTGGTCCTAGGACACCAGCTGCACCAGAACACATGTTGATTAAAAAACAGAATGGTTCAGTATTAGCTTACTTCGGGCTGTTTCAGCAGATACCATATATTATATTGTATAAATGACTAAATTTATATCACTTATATCTTTTAATAAAAGCGTTTATATTTTAAAATCAAAATTATTGTTTATACTATACTTATTTTTCGTTAATACCTACCTATGACGTGACGGATATTAACATGATATAATATTTATAATGAACGACCGAGTTAACTGCAGCGTGTTCAAACATATATATATATATATTATATATATACATTGAACATGCATGGTGTAGCAGCTCAGAGCCGAGATAGCTGAGTATAACGACGACAAAAAATAAAAATAGAAAACGGTCAGATGTAGTTGTATATTGTTTAACGAGTGGAATGATATTCGGTTAGACCTTAAATAGGCGCAACGTGGATGGATCGATAAATCATCGTCAACCTTCACGATAAATATAGTATAAGTATTAAGTACACATTATTGTATAAACATATTAAGCATGTATATATACATAGGCACTCACATAAAACCTTATACGCACAGTAGTAGGTATATCGTAAATACGTACTTAATATTATAATATTTATATATAGTGCCTTATCTTCGAAACGGGTATATTTTTTATTTTTTTTTACGTTCTTTAATTCTTCGAAATTTTTTAATCCTCCGCTCGACAGGCAAGGCGTGGCGGTGGGATAATACGTCAAGTGACGACGACCACCACCACCGGGCGTATTATGATTTTACATTTAACACGATATTTCGACGACGGGGACATTCGACACCGCGGTCTAGTGAATAATAATATTAAAATATATTATTTGAATGATTACACGAGAACGGGAGCTGCGGCGGCCGTGTAGGTATATAATAATATAATACGAGTACGTCGGTGGATTAACCAACCAGTCGTATTACCTAGGTATATTATTTATCATGCGGATTATCATAATATTATAATAATAATATGCGAAGCTGTCGTCGTTTACAGGGCGTTCAAAAAGGTTCGGAAACCAACGATACATCCGTGACCCGCAATATTATTATGAATGCCCGTTGTATAAGACTCGTTTCCAGCAAACCGTCATTGACGGCGAACACTCTGTATATGTTAGCTCTGCACTCGCTAACTGTACCCGCTCACTCCGTTTACCTGCAGCTCATTTCGTATAATATGATATATTGTCATTAATTATTTATAATACTATGGGCAGGTATAATATTAATAATGATGTGGGTACGACTGTGCCGCCGGTGTTACGCGCGGCCCGGTGGACTCGGTCGGCCACGGGGGGTGGTGGTGGAGGCTGCTGCTGCATTTTGCTGACGATCCGACACTCAACAGGTCTCCGGCGGAGAATTATAATAATTAATATCATTATGGGTATTATTTATTACAGCACATATTATATTATGAGGTCCTTGCGCAGAGCCATCTGCACTCGAAAATAGAACGTTTATAATATAGGTATTATAAGTTCTAACGTTTATAATGCAGCAACAATTATTTATATCACACCTTTTTTTCCAACACACAGTTCAAATGTATTTGATACTTATTACTTATACAACGGAGGCAGCCAATTATATAGTCATTAAATCTGTTTCACTCGGGTACGTACAGTTGATATAACATTATGTTCTACATACATTTGGTGCAATTTTTGTAACTTTCCCGATTTTGTAATCAGCATAATATTATACATCTCGCGATTTCCCATCATTTTTCAACTGATGACCGAATGTAACTTACTGTAAAACTTTATATTAAAAGTGTGGAATTCCTACGTTATCATCGTAATCCAGTTCTTGAGTGTTGTAAAATATCAAAATAATAAATGTTTAGGTTGATCATAAAAATTACATCTACTAGCCATTTCACAATCATCGAGTATCTGCAGACGTCAACATCCTATTTTGAGCAATAGTTACGAGTAAGCTCTAAGCATGAGATCATAGAGAGGTGTACTAGTACAAGTAAATACAAAGTATCATTGATGGCGTGCACAGCAGGCCTACTTTTTATTTTTTAAGGATATTTATCGTGTTATCTGACAGTGGCATTGCAGCCGAGAGTCTTCCTATTTTGACCGTTTAGTTAGCTATTAACCTTACTTATTATGCTCACTATATGGAACTACATTGTACAGATTGTAAATATATTTTACTGTAGTAGATCCAATTATTAAAACCAAATGTTGAGAATTCGATTTCCAACTATTTTCTATATTATGCACAAATTTTAATGCTAATGTGTTCGGTATTAGAGTTTAAAATCTGACTCACAACCAGTTTTTTGCAGAACATTAATTGTCCACGTCGTAAAATATATGATAAACTTTAATAAATATTTTAACAATAAAAAGGATACCTACATAATTTATTATGATCATTTTAACTAATCTTATGATAAAAATTATACTACTTAATTGTACGATAATATCGAGTGGATCCGACAAAAATAAAAAATGTCCATTAAAAATTGTTACCTATATAAAATTTATGTATAATTATGAACGGGCTGGCTTTAAATTTATATGCTGCGCTATAAAGTATTAAAGCCGATAATTGTACTATGTAAAATGTATAAAGTGTATGGCATATAATAACATTTAAAATATTGTGTATTATGTTACCGTAAATACCTTGAAGCCAGACATTATTGAAAGTGCCTAGTCAAATATTATAATGCCCGAACACGCGTATCATATAGCCATTATATTTATTGAGAATATATTATATATTTATAACAATACTTATTGGAGGGGTTGCAAGCATCTTATTATTTGTGCATAATTGCATTGGTGCATTAATAAATTATTATCAGATTAGTCGATATGTTGATACAGACATTTTTAGATTTCTTATTTTCGTACTGACAATATTATTGTCAGCTGTTATTGAGTACCGGTATTACGAGGACTGTCCATTTAGTTATACTCCTGAGCGCCTGAGAACAACAGTA